TCATCTCTCTATCTGTCTGTCTGTCTATCTGTCTGTCTATCGTCTATCAATCTGTCTGTCTGTCTATCATCTCTCTATCTGTCTGTCTATCTGTCTGTCATCTCTCTATCTGTCTATCTGTCTATCATCTCTATCTGTCTGTCTATCATCTCTCTATCTGTCTGTCTATCTGTCTATCGTCTCTCTATCTGTCTGTCTGTCTATCATCTCTCTATCTGTCTGTCTGTCTATCTGTCTGTCTATCGTCTCTGTCTGTCTATCATCTCTATCTGTCTGTCTGTCTATCTGTCTGTCTATCGTCTATCAATCTGTCTGTCTGTCTATCATCTCTCTATCTGTCTGTCTATCTGTCTGTCATCTCTCTATCTGTCTATCTGTCTATCATCTCTATCTGTCTGTGTCTATCGTCTCTCTATCTATCTGTCTGTCTATCTGTCTGTCTATCGTCTCTATCAATCTGTCTGTCTGTCTATCATCTCTCTATCTGTCTGTCTATCTGTCTGTCTATCTGTCGGTCTACACCAGCACTTAACACAACCTTTGAGGGGAAAAATATGTTCCTCCTTTACATGTTCACTAGTCTAAATTGCTCAAGCCTACCTGCTGGTTTCTCTCAAATTGTTTTCAAGTCTGACTTCTAATGATGCACTCTCTCTCTCTCACACACACACACACTCACACATTCATAAATCTGAAGACCGTCATTTGTTTCTCTTCATCTTCAATTTTGTGTTGCTGGTGATGTCAGTTGCTATGCAACCGTGCTATCAGAGCCAGTTTCCATGACGACCAGACCAGCATCGTGCACTGAATGAGAGAGCTCTCTCTCTCTCTCTCTCTTTCTCTTTCTCTTTCTCACACACACAATAAGAGTTTATGACAATTTTATATTCACACTCTGTTGTTTCTGTGTGGATCTGATGTGTTTCTGCTCTGGATCAGATAACTGTGTTTGTGTGTGTGTGTGTGTGTCTTCTCCTGCTGAGGCTCTGAATGGCGTTTCGTCCCTCTCTGATGACATCATCATCATCATCATCATCATCACTCCTCCTCCTCAGCTCTGCAGTGAGCTCTGAGTGGAATACTGAGCAGCTCTGTGTCGCCCCCGTCTGGACAATCCCACAATCCCCGGCATCTGTGTGTGTGTCTGTATGTGTGTGTGAGTGTGTGTGTGTGTGTGTGAGAGCGAGTGTGTGTGTGTGTGTGTGTGTGAGAGAGAGTGTGTGTGTGTGTGTGTGAGAGAGAGAGAGAGAGAGTGTGTGTGTGTGTGTGTGTGTGTGTGAGAGAGAGCAAGTGCGTGTGTGTGTGTGTGTGACTGAGAGAGAGCGTGTGTGTGTGTGTGTGTGAGAGAGAGAGTGTGTGTGAGTGTGTGTGTGTGTGTGTGAGAGCGAGTGTGTGTGTGTGTGTGTGTGTGAGAGAGAGTGTGTGTGTGTGTGTGTGAGAGAGAGAGAGAGAGAGTGTGTGTGTGTGTGTGTGTGTGTGTGAGAGAGAGCAAGTGCGTGTGTGTGTGTGTGTGACTGAGAGAGAGCGTGTGTGTGTGTGTGTGTGAGAGAGAGAGTGTGTGTGAGTGTGTGTGTGTGTGTGTGAGAGCGAGTGTGTGTGTGTGTGTGTGTGTGAGAGAGAGTGTGTGTGTGTGTGTGTGAGAGAGAGAGAGAGAGAGTGTGTGTGTGTGTGTGTGTGTGTGTGAGAGAGAGCAAGTGCGTGTGTGTGTGTGTGTGACTGAGAGAGAGCGTGTGTGTGTGTGTGTGTGAGAGAGAGAGTGTGTCTGTGTGTGTGTGTGTGTGTGTGTACACTTACACTGACATTAGTGTGTCTGAGATCAATCCGGCTGTTCTCTTTGTGTGTGTGTGTGTGTGTGTGTGTGTGTGTGTGTGTGTGTGTGTGTGTGTGTGTGTGTGTGTGTGTGTGCAGAAGTACCGTTACCATGACGAGGAGACGCCGCCGCTGCAGCACAGTCCAGCTCACCTGACCGTCAGCGACACCGGACACGCCCCCATTGACGGTCTCCACGGTCACACACCCCAGATGCATGTGTCACCCGCCAAAGTAAGAGTCCTGTGTGTGTTTGAGCTCCTCATGAGTCCGTCAGCACAGAGCAGCTTTTAGCCATGACCTTTGACCTCATAATAACAGAGTGAGCAGTCACACAGCAGGTGGTTTTAATAGATCTTCATTTTAATGATCTCAATATCAATTCTTAAATCATCAAACATTTTTATAGCATGACTGCTGCACAGTGATCTTAGTGCTTTGTTACGTTTGATATGAAAGTCTCAGTGTTCAAATTCAAATAAAACAAGTTTTGTTTTTATTTCAACAGCAAATTGGAGCAGAAACATGATTATATCATTAAAAAGTAGCATTTACGTTTTGTTTGTTTACAATTATTGAACCCTAAGATGAGTAGTATTTGAATTTGTTCTTAGCCTTTAATATACAGTATAGTAATGTACCAGCTGACAGGGTTCTGTGTATAGTTTAAAGCATTCGTAGTTTTTTACTTACTGTACCTGATATACAGTATATGCAAATTAATCAATATTGAATAAAATCGAGATCAAAATCAAATCAAGAGCTTGTGAACTGAAATCAAATTGATTAAAGTCCTTACTTTAAATTGGGTTTTATTTTTAATTTGTATTAAATGATGTTTCTTTGCCTGCCACATGAGTTTCCATAGTTACCCGTGTTTGTTCCCATAGCAACTAATCGCCCACACCTTTCTCTTGTTGCCCCTCGTTACGGTTATATTTATTTAGTTCCGGATTCATGTAAAAGTCTCTGGGTTGTGTTTCAGCCGGTGTTGCTCCCCAGCGGTCACACGCCCTTCTATGCCTCCTCGACTCTGGTGAGTGCTTCTCTGCTTCTGATTGGCTGTGATGTCATTTCCTGTAGACGCCTCACTGGTCTTTGACCGCTTGTCTACTTGGGTGACGTATTTCTAGTGGACATCAAGTGTGTGTAAAAGGCTTGATTACTGATGTTTTGACAGAACTCATTAACACTTTACAGAAAGACCCCGTTAGTTCATGCTCGTTAATGCATTAATTAACAATGAGCAGTACATTTGCTACAGTATCTGTTAATGAAAATACAAAAGTTCATTGTTAGTTCATGTTAGTTCAGGTCCAATAAATGATATTAACAGACGCGTTTGCTTTTAATAATGTATTAGTAAATGTTGAAATTAACATGAACTAAGATTAATAAATGCTTTAGAATTTATTTCATTTTAGAAGTTTGTTTTCACCACTTTAATTATGACTTTTCATCTCAGTTCTGAGAAAACAGTCAGAATTATAAGATATAAATAGAATTGCAAGACACAAACTCAGAATTCTGATCTCTTTTCCCACAATTCCAAGTTTACATCTAACAATTTTCTTTTTATATAAGAGTTCTTATGTTGAAAAGCTGACTTTAATTGAGAGTTTCTGTCACAATTCTGAGTTTACTTGCAATAATGTTTGTTTTTCACCATGGAATAACTTTTTATCTCACATTTCCAACTGTTCTCAGAATTCTGACTTTATATCTGATATTTAAATATTTATTTTTTATATAATTTTTCATTATATTTATCTTTTATATAAATTTATCTAATATATAATTTCCAAAATTGTGAGAAAAAGTCTGAATTGTGAGATAAAAAGTCACAATTACCTTTTTAATTTTTTTCAATCCTGATATTGATAACTATATTAGCGTCCGTAGCCGTGACAAGTTTTGTCGTCTGTCTCTTTAAATGCTGGAACTCTTTCAAGCAGGATGGATTCTGATTGGCTGTCAGTGTTTTTATCATTCATCAGCTAAAAAAATATCTCTAAAGTGAATCCAGCGATATCGTTATGGTTATAGTTGTCATGTGGACTCTGATAATCTTTTAAATTTAAAATGTTATTTTTTTTAATTATATCTTTATTGTTATGATAGTTATCATCCTTTAGCCATAAATCCTGCTCTGAAGGGTGGATTTAGTGTGCGTTAAAGGGTTAGTTCACCCAAAAATGAAAATGCTGTCATTAATTACTCACCCTCATGTCGTTCCAAACCCGTAAGACCTTCGTTCATCTTCAGAACACATATTAAGATATTTTTGATGCATTCTGAGAGCTGTAATTTACTCGATCAAGGTCCAGAAACGTAAAATAATCCTATTAAACTATCCCTTTAAGGCAGTGGTCGCCAACCCGTGGATCGCGATCGACTGGTAGGTCTTTATCACTGTCCCAGTCAGAGCATGTGAGCGGAATCATTATTGCTTAAAATTAATAAATAATAATAAATTAATAAAAAAACGAATAAAACCTGCTGACGTCGTAGAAACGAATTGTTAATTCAAATTATATTCGGAGCTCTGTAGTTATTAAATAATCTCAGTTAAACTGTAGACCTAGCTAACACACAGCTGTATATAGGCCTACATACAGAACTACAGAGTACAGAAGATATTAGCCTACACCACTTAGGCCTATTAAAATATTATTTAAAAAAAAACTGACCCGAACCAATAGGTAGTCCTACAGAATGTAGGCTAGATATAGGCAGCAGTAATTTATAATCTAATATAATGCACGCAAATTTGTTCTTTACAGAACGGAGCGGGATCTGAGCGGGAATTGGTTTACGGCGAGCGTGAGCGGAATATTAACGGAGCGCTTGCTTGGGCGGTTAGAGCGACTGAGTGGAGCGCAC